GTACATGTGGCTACTGGTACCAGGTAGAAACATGGTCAATCAAGATATGGTTTGGAAACTCTCTTGCAAATTTCTTTGTTCTATCTTTATGCCCATGTTTTTGAAAACTTGTGCACGGAAGCAAACATACAATGGCATCAACTCATCACTCGACCGTACTGTTGAAATTATAGCGAACTAAAGCAAAGCTTAATCAGGGCGCTGTAAAACACAGCGCGCAACCATATACATAATATATATGTGTTTTATTACGCCCTGGCTTAATCTAGTACGGGGACGTGACAAGAAATCGCCTTAAATTTTACACTTATATAATTATAAAAAAACTACTGTTATATTAAGAACCTCAACAAGCAGGTTATTGAATTCATATTAATACAAGAAAATGAGCAGAAATGAACAATTAAAATCCCACGGAAGTTTTAGACGTCAGGCAAAATACATACAACGCTTACATTTCAAGCTGGGATAACTGCTATATTTAAATTGGGTCGTAGAACTTTCCTCAATCATAAATCCCGTGTTAATCTTGATCCTTAAACTGTATTATTTTCATACGATGCCCGCTAACGATGGAGAATAAACGACAGGTTTTCTTCTACAATCATTTGGTGTTGTTTCACGTGGCCGTCGCGTTCACGTCCTACAATTTTGCACGGTGAAGCCATCTCGTCATAAAATCGCAGCTCATATGTAGATCAATTGGAAAAATTAATGTTAATCACGACCACCTTATAAGAATACTTCAAGACCAACTGTTACAGTTTTATAAAGTATAAATATAATTGAGAAATGAAATCTTATAAATGTTTCTGCTATAGCCTCGTTTTGGGGCTTTTTTCAGTTCAAACAGCTATAATTTTGCTTTCATGGATTGTCTGCAGTCTTTGCCTCAAATAACAGCCTCTGTTGAAAAATTGCATATTAGCCTAGTATCCAACAAATATAAAATAACTAAATTGTGGTAGCTATAGTTTTGAAATTGGTCAATATTATAGACGTTTTGATGGTTGCCGAGCTTTGAGACCATACCTCGATTGACTATGGTAGAAATTATTCATGTAAGGAACACCAGTACTAGATTTTTAGACAGTCAGTGTTTCTATATACTAATATATATACTTTTAAAATTATATCAAAGGTGGCTCGATACACTTTGGAACGTATTTTTAAATAAGAAATGGTATGAGAAAAATTCTTTATACCTTAATTTTACTGGTATTGGTCCGAAAAAATGTGTTTACCTGTGATGTTACAGGTACGGTATTTGTCTGGAAACATTTTTTTTACCCTCTCCCTCCCCCCTCACCAACATCCCCCTCCCCACCATGTAGGTTATCAACAGAATCAATCATTTGAAAAATGATGTCAATAGTGACTGACCACTGAATGTTAATCAGCATCAGAATCATGCTGATTATTGCATTATCATTAACAAAATGGAATCAGTAAAAGTCCCTGTGTTTCACAAATATCAGAGTTTATTTTA